TTCATTCTTTAATTGTTTTAATATTTCCCTACTAAACTTTTGTGTTAGAAACTGTTATTTTATTATTATTACCCTCTTGAACTCTGATACATAATCCAGATTATTGTACATACTCTCTTCCAATTATGTGAATTTCTTATTATTAATATCATGTGAATTTATCATCATTACTACTATCGTCATATTTACTGATATTTACCAAACACATAATATTTTTATTCCTTTATTTATTCCTGCATTATTATCTAATTAGTAAGATCCTTATACTTTCATTATTAGTTATATACGCTTATCTCTTGTATTTGTTGTTTTTATTTAAATTTATATAAGATTGTTACTGATTGAAATGACATACATGTATCAAAATATTACAATCATAGCCATAGTGGCGCCATCTACCTTCCAATTTATAATTTATCCTCATACTATATTTTTGGATCTCTATCTTACAATGTATTTCCTACTGAACTTCTGTGTTTGCTACTGTTATATTATTATCATTACCCTGCTGAATTCTGATGCAAAATTCAGATTATTGTACATACTCTCTTCTATTATGAGAATTTCTTCTTATTATTATTATCGCCATAATTACTGATACTTACCAATAACATAATACATTTACTCATGAATTATTATTAAATCACTAAGATTCTAATAATTTCAATATTAGTCATATCTGTTTATTTGTTGTATTTACTTAAATTTACCTAAATATTTTAAGATTATTATTGCTTAGAATGTATGCATGTATCAAAATATTCAAATCATGGCCATAGTGGCGCCATCTTACTGTCATATTATGAGTTATATTCAACCTTTATTATTTTTTTTTTTATTTCCTCTATTTTTCAATGTTTTTCTACTGAACTTCTATATTTGCTAATGTTATATTATTAATATCACCCTGTTGAATTCTGATACACAATTCAGACTGTTGTACATTCTCTCTCCAATTTTTGTTACTCAAGAATACTACAACACTGCTACAGTATTTTCATGTTGTACCCCTGTAAAACATACATGCTAATCCTCAAGGTATCACCTATAGTCGTAACATTATTAATAACTTTCTATTACCTACCAATCATTCTAACCAAGCTACTATGTCCCTGCCACCCAGTTTATCCCGCTCCTAAATCTACAGTACTAAATTCTTTATTATATCACTATTATATCTCATGCTACAGGATATTATTTGTTATTACCAAGCGCACAACCCATTCATCCCAGACAACAATATTAATATACTAGACATCTTATACTTCATTATAAATTTTTAACTGCCTTTTGTCACTTGTTTTTCAAATTATTACTGCTTAGTTATGGTATGCATACACCAAAATATTATAAATACAGCCATGGTGGCGCCATCTTCTGCTCATACCATTAGTTACCTTAGTACTACACCTTTAATTTCCTTTTCTTTGCTATAATTGTATATTGAAATTTTTATCTTTACTACAATTCTGCTACATAATTCAGATTATTGTAATCATTCTCTTCTATTTATGTTACTCAAGGATTTTACATCACTGATTCTATGTTTACATTTTGTCTCCTATTATAACTACATGTATTTATCCAATGTACCACTTTGTAATCCCCTCTTTTGTAACCTCCCTTTTTGTTTTTTCTCCAATAAAAATGTAATCCTTTTTCTTTTGAAGTTGGGAAGGTAGAAGTGTGTGATGGATGTCATCGGCTAATCTTTTCCACATGATGAAATTACTAGCTAGACCTAACCCCACCCTCTTTTATTACAATTTATTTTTAATTTATTAGATTAACAGACCCCCTACTTCATCTTTTTCATTTATATTTCGATCGGAGGTGCGTGCCTAGTGCACAGGTACTCCGTTGCCTAAAAGCAACACCACTCGCCCTTGTATTCTGGAGTGGAAAAAAAAAGGAAAACAAAAATAGAGGTGGATTTGCGGTGAAATTATTTATTTGTTCATTCAATTAATTTTGTAAATTTTTTTTTAATATGTCTAAACAAAAACAATACAAACAAGCCCAAGAAAGCCAATCCCTTTTAGACTCTGCAAATATCTCGATTTTTATTCACGCGATTTTAATATCAATCATCGATTTTCGTATTTACCTGATTTAAAAGTTGCGCATTGCGATTCTTATTTACGCTATTTAAATATCGTACATTGCGATTCTTATTTACGAGATTTAAAAATCCAATATCGTGTTTTGTATTTATGCATTTTTCAAATCTCGATTTTATTATCAAATCTCGATTTTCGTATTTACCTGATTTAAAAGTTGAACGTTGCGATTCTTATTCAGGCGATTTAAATATTGTACAGTGCGATTCTTACTTACGAGATTTAAAAAATCAATATCGCGATTTGTATTTACGAGCTTTTAAAGCCCTATGTAGCAATTCGTATTCACGCGAGCTTAAAATCCAATGTCGTGATTCGTTTTTGCTGTTGTAATATCGCACGATTTAAAAATTATGCATCGTGATCTAAAAATTAAAAAATCATGATTTGTATTTTCGCATTTTTTAAATTCGATGTAGAGCTCATATTTACGTGATTTAAAAGCCTCATATCGGGATTTATAATCACATGGTTTACAAGTTTAAAAATCGCACTTTTTTTGACTTATATATTCTTTTTTCTTGGATTTCCTCTATTTTACTTTCTGACTACTCTCATCCCTGATTTCAGCCAACAGATAATTTATGCAAAATTGTAGGAAAACGGCGGTCATTTTGCTACATCTTCAACAACGATCATAAACTCTTTAAACTAATATATATCAGAATATTTTTTTTCAGCATTAAAATCTACATAATTTTAAAGATTATAGTTATTTTAATTACATTAAGCAAATTAGAAGCTGAAAATTTTAAATTCAACTTTTATAGGTAGCACGCTTAATTATTAATACATACATGAATTATTGTATTAGCAATTTAAAAAAAAAGGGTAAATATTTTTTTTAACTTAACAAAAAGGGAAAGTGTTTTTTAGTGAGAAGCTCTTCTTTTCTCATGAATGAACCATAAAGTATTTCTGAAGGAATTAAAAAAAAATGGTATGTGGCTTAGAAGTTAAAATCTAGAGCTCTATCATTCGTATAATGAACCTGACATTATTAACTTAATTAAACGACAAAGAATAAAGTGGACAGGCCACATTATCAGAATGGACGAAGACTGTACCACAGAAAGTTTTCAATGCCATACCAGTTGACACACGAAAAAGAGGCAGGCCAAATCTGAGATGGATAGATGGCCTAAAAAGACCTTTTGGTCTTAAGAACTACAAACTGGAAAACACTAGGAGGAAAAAGGTTAGCCTGGAAAAATTTTCGTGAAAAGGCAAAGGCTCTCGAATCATTGATGATGCTGAACAAAAATGTTTCTCCAGGACTCAGTAGAATCCCCATACCTCAAACACTTTTCCTGAAGCAATAAAGATAAAATCGATTTGAATTTCCTGTCGATCAGCTAAGGGAAATAAATCACGATTTGGTAGCAGATTATATTTTTCAACAGAAAGAAACCAGGTTGGACAATGCTAGTCAAAAGGCTCAGTCCATCCCTATCACAAGATAATGTTTGTCATTAATTGTTCTGTTGAAAAATAGTGTCCTGATATTTCGGATAGAAAGTTTGAACCCCCTTCATGTTAACTTCACTTTCTGCGTATCTTGGGAAGTTTTAAAGCTGCTAAGATTATTTTGACACACAATTTTATAATTCGTTTATCTAAAGACGTAAAAAATAATTTTTATTCAATGCCTTTAACAATGGTGAAAAATTTTTGACTTGTAAGGTATACAAATTCTTACATCATTTTAAACTATGTAATTTTAAGTAACAAAATACTAAGTTTGAACAAAATAAACTGAATCGTTTCTTTGTTATTAAATTTCATAACGGCCATAATTTTTGAATTTTGTTTAAGAACTATTTCACCCATTTTATTAATTTAAAATAGTTGGAAAAATTATATACCTTAAAATTCAATTTTTCTCCAAACCTTATTTAATAAAAGAATCATGACAATTAATTTCGACCTGGAACTATCTGTGAATAAACTAAATTTATAATTGTAAACAACATATAAGATAAACAGAAATATCTTGAAATATGTTAAGAGTGAAAGTTAATATTATTAATTGTTATGCATATTTTGTTGGTTAAGAATCAAAATCTTGGTTTTTCTAAATTAATTAGTATATTTTGTGGTCAACCTAATCATAAGACCTAACCTAATCATAAGAACAAAAGTTATCCATGAGAATATTAAAACTAAAATATTTGTAAACAGTGGATATATTAAAATCAAGGGGTGTGAATTAAAACCTTTCATTCGATGACCCACACGTAAATTTTAAAATTCATTAAATTTTCCTCAAGATGCTTAATGTATACGAATATTTCAGAATGGGGAGAAGTTTTTTTCTGTTGGTTGAGCAGAAGATTTTCAGTGTTCTCAGGGTCTTATGGACCTGGTCATGATGAGTATACGTCTAAAACGAATTTCCTGGGTGTTGCTACTCATATCTGTAAAAAAAAATTCCACTTGTTTCCCTCGTAGATATTATACACACTATATTATGAGGAAACAACAATGACTGTGCTCTTTTGAGAGCTAACTATATTTATTAGTTTGAATGGCTTGACAAACAGCTGGACATACTTTAATGCTATAGTAAATGAAATAGTTTAGTATAGCTGAAATATCATGGTTAAATATCCCATAGATGACGCTTTGGGTGGTCACTATTATTGAAAAGACGAAAATATGAAACAAAATTCCCTGCTCTTTCCCTTTTATTTTAGGTGATTTTTAAATTCCCTATGGAGCGGCAACCCTGTGATCACTTATAATGACGTTCCTCTCATCCTTAAATTTGCCCCTCAAGGATCCTTTCTCCAAATGCTCTTCCATAGAATGCATTCACATAATCCTTTCTAGAATGAAGTCATAAAATTAGAACTAGTGTGTTTATAAAATATGACAAAATTCTTCACAAAATCATTATTTTATTTCAATTCACGAACACATTTTGAGAAAACGACACACAATTCAAGTGTAAAATACAATTCTGAAGCCTTCTTTAGATGAACATTCTTTGGCAATGATATGATGAGGATACTCAAGAACTGGACAGTGCTATAAATTATGAATAAATATGTTACTGACATCAAAATTATTTATGCATTGTTAGGCTCAACAAATAGATTACTTGAAANCAGCTGTGGCCTTTCCTCTTCTCTACAAAGCGTGTTTGTTCTTTTGAGAAAGGGAAGTAATTCGCGAAAAGGTGTTTTACAGTTTTTCACCCTTCCCTTTATGTTATAGTAGGTACGCAATTACAAAAATGAAAATTTTCATCAACTCTATCTTAACACAATTTCTTGCCTACCTATATATAATTAGAGTACTTTATTTTGTAAAAACATGATGTGGTCTCTTCATATGGGGCCCCCTTGACCGTCGGGGCGGTGCCCCGGCGTAGTTACGGCCCTGTATTCCAGGTGAGTGACCACCTTGATTTTATAAATGTTTTGAGGAAATTTTTGTGAAGATATTATTTCATTGCCTATTTTCATTTGAGATTTATATTTTAAATAAGGCAAATATTTGGAACATGCATGTGAATAACGAATTCCAAAAATAAAAACAATTATATTTTTTTAACTCTTCTGGGTTTTAAAATACATAAAAACAGAAAAATAACTATAAAGACACTATAATTGAATAATTTTGTGTTTATAAATCAGCGTAACATCTCAGGGTGCATAACCAAATTTTTCAATAAAATATAAGCACCTTTTAAGCACTCAAAAATATTTTTAAGCACTATATACATTTACGAAATGCAAAATGATTTGCAAAGACTTTACAAGATCATGATAAAATAACTAGTTTCTGACAAAATGGTGCGCCGAAATAGATCGTGAAAAATTCCCTTTTTTTATTATTGTAAAATACTTCATTCATTTCTACCACTTATCTACTTTTACTTTTAGACAGAAAAAAGCCATTTATTTTAAATAACCATTAAGAGAACAACTAAGTTAGCATTTTGAACTCTGAACTTACTGCGGTATGTAAAAAAAATTTTAGGTTGGATTTTTATGGAAGATTTTTCTTTAAAAAAAATATATATATTGTTTATGGAACAATGAGAGAACATTTACAATGATATTTTGAAGGTCAGTGTGAGTCTTCTACTTTAGAACTCTCCCCCCCCCCCCCTAAAAAAAAACAGGATCCCATGTGCAGTATCCCCTTGTCCACACTATTTTTTACTTTTAGAATGCTTCACTTTCCTCATAGAGCATCATTTTAGGCAAAAGGAAGAATATACTAATGAAAGGGTATGCTTTCCTCCCCTCACACACATCTCTTTTTGTCTCTCCTCTACTCTCCATGTATAGTCTCATTCTAGGTTATAAAAGAAACATTTTTTGTTTTAAATATTTTTGTAAGACTGAATTTTTTTTTAATCACGTATAGTGATGCTGGAAACTGAAGGACTTGCAGTTTTTAGGGACCGTGGGAACCCCGTAATATGATTTTTTCCTTAGAAATAAATTTTGCTGCTGTAGTTTTCCATGACCAATGTTTTAATTATAGAAACTGAAAATTAAATGTATCAAATCTTAAGCAGTGTCGGCACGACACAAAATGTGTACCATCTTAAAGATATTTATTTTTAATGTGGTACAGACAGCAAATAGACCAATGAATTTTTATTAGGTTAAATGAAAAATTTATTAGAATAATATACACAGCAACTGTTATACATACATAATCTGATAAGTATTAGTTGCATAACTTTGCCCTACTCGCCTGTATGTTTTATTAAAAAAATGAACATTTCAATAATAGAATGCAAGTATGAAAACTAAATAACATAAATAATATGTCCTTTGTACAAAATATTTATACAGGGAAATCCCGCCTATTAAAAGTGATTAAATAACTATCATTAAATTTAACTAGTGATTAAATAACTATCATTAAATTTAACTAATTCTGTCCAAGAAACAATATTTGATAATTAAATTTATCTAATAAAAATATTAATGACTTGAATATAACTTCTGTTTCTTAGAATATCTGTATTAAAATTTTGCAAGAATATGGTAGGGGAAAAACACTTCAAATAAATAAACAATAATAAAAATTAACATTTGCTCTCACTTTTTAATCCGATGAATGAAATTAACTTTCAAAATGTAAAAAAACATACATTGTTTTATCAACATCTTATTTCAAACTATTTTAAAAGCTGCGCTTTTTAACTTTATTAAAATAAATGTGTTTATAATTTTAAAACAGGAATAAAACTTCAAACAATGTTATATACATTAAAGAAATGTATGCATTTCTTTTGTAGCAGTTTATTTACACAATTCTTTTTTAATTAATAAAAATTTGAAATAATTTATAAAATGCATGCTTGTTTTTTAGAGTAAATGTTAATATATTTAGAAAAAAAATACTGACTCTTCAATGTGTTAGGAAAAAAAAAGTAAGCAGTCAAAATATATGTGATTTACAACCCCCCATGAACGTTTCTCCCATTTATAAACTCTCATTACAAGGGGGATGAATAATTTCAGTCACATTAGTAGAAGATAATGTTTTCATCTTACTAAGCAGTTACTAAAACATGATGCATAGCTAAATCTTTTAACAAAAAATAAGCACCTTTTAATTACTTTTTAAGCACTCAAAAATATTTTTAAGCACTATATACAAAAACAAAATGAAATATAATTTTCAAAGCCTTTACATGATCATGGTAAAATACCTAGTTTCCGACAAAGAACTCTTTCTGGACTACATTAGCCACCCTAAAAAGATTAGAGATTTTNAATGTCAGGATTTAAAAAACCTGGCATTTTCCCATTAAACAGACTGGTATTTGGAGAAGAGGATTTTTTTTGCAGTTACGTTACTGACCATGAAAACCCGGGAAGCAATGCAAATGCTGCAGAACATAGTGTGATAAATGAAGATCTCTAAGAAAATAAATTAGAAGATGGTCAAACTGTCAACTGGTCAACTTTATAAGATTCATGCTTGTTTTTTAGAGTAAATGTTAATATATTTAGAAAAAAAATATTGACTCTTCAATGTGTTGGGAAGAAAAAAAAGTAAGCAGTCAAAATATATGTGATTTACAACCCCCCATGAATGTTTCTCCCATTTATAAACTCTCATTACAAGGGGGATGAATAATTTCAGCCACATTAGTAGAAGATAATGTTTTAATCTTACTAAGCAGTTACTAAAACATAATGCGTAGCTAAATCTTTTAACAAAAAATAAGCACCTTTTAAGTACTTTTTAAGCAGTCAAAAATATTTTTAAGTACTATATACAAAAACAAAATGAAATATAATTTTCAAAGCCTTTACATGATCATGGTAAAATACCTAGTTTCCGACAAAGAACTCTTTCTGGACTACATTAGCCACCCTAAAAAGATTAGAGATTTTCGGTTCAATTTCAGAGTGAGGAAAATGAAGCTGGAAATTGAGAATCTCTTGCAAAATGCAGCCGAGTTGCACACGAGAGTGCATGAATAATTCTCACTGAATCCAGCTCAGTATATGCACACCCGAACCCGGAAGCATTTCATCAAACATGTAAAATGATGGATGCTTTCATACGCTAAGGAACGACAGTATGCCGAAATACATCGTGTTTGAATGATTTGTGAAAACGTTGAACAGAACAATTTGAAAACCACGCTTTTGCATTATACGTGCCGAACATCGACATGGAAAAGAAAAAAAAATTCTCATTTTCGAAAAGGGAAAATTAAGCAGTTTTTAAAAACACCCCATAAAAAAGCACCTTTAAGGGCTTTCAAAAATCGAAAATAAGCACCATTAAGCACTTTTTAAATACGCTACGCACCATGTGAAAGGTTAAAATGCACCTTAGAAAACTTGGGCAGACAGAATCCATATTTAGCAGGAAACAAAAAACCTGCTGAAATTTCTTTGGCTAATTTTATATTAGTGATACATTTATAATATTTAAAAGAAAAAAATTATTGAAAGTTGTCAAATTAAGCATTGACCTTAATGAAAAATTGGATCTTAAGCCTTTTTCCTTTTTTAATAGATTACAAACACTTTCTTCATATGTTAACCATAACTATTACAGCAATTATAAAAGTAACATGCTATTTATTTAAAATTTGTCATTTGATACGATCTTCAATGATACAATAACTGGAATAGATTGCATACAGATTGACTTACAGTTCTAACAACAAAAAAATCAATCTAAAGAAAAGAATAATTGTTTACAGAGATACAAAACACCCGGTTGCATTAAAGCCACTTCACGTTTCAAAAGAACATACTTATTCTGTTTATATTATTTTAAAAAAATAAATAAATTCAATTGAATTGGAGTTAATGAAGGGTGAAAATTGTATCATTACATGTCATATCAATATAAATTAAGCATGTATCTTCAAAATGAATAAATGTTCCAATGGAAGGGAAGCTCTGTAGTGAAGATCCCTTACATCAGTGTTTCTCAAACTTATGATTTTTGTGTACCCTTTCTAAATTTTTCGTAACGCTGTGTACCATTAATAAAAAAAATTTATGTATTTTTTACTATAAAAAAATTGCACAAGAGTCAAAAATCACAACTGTCTGTTGATACCACTAAAGATTAAATATTAACAATGCCTCTCTGCAAAAAATAGCCAATAGAAAAATATGTAATCGTAAATTTTCATTGCTAGATTTATTTTTAAATAAACTTTTTTGAAATTTTCGCTTGCTGCAAGATACTTTGCATAAAAATGCGTACCCCCTCTAAACTGTTCCCGTACCCCTGGGGATACGCGTACCACACTTTGGGAAACACTGCCTTACATAGATGATTTTGCAAGAGTGCCGTAAATATTTATGTTTGGGCTAAAAGATTGGTTAGCACAAAATGAAAATGTTGTCTGTTGTTTCAATATAAGTTGATATTTTATTATTAGGAAAAATTAAGTCACAGGTTTGAAGAACCAGTTACTAGAAAATAATACCAGTCTGTACACATTGTGCATGTTGCTGTTAAACTTCTTTAAAAAAAGATAATAGAGTTAATTAAAACAAAAAATTACAATAGAGAGATTGTGCATTGCATAATGTGTAATATTCTATTCCATAACAAAATCTAAAATATCTTTTTATAAAAATAAAAAAATCTTTTTATAGCTAGTCCAAAAGACCATCAATAGTTATTTTAAGGGGGTGCAAATCAAATTTCAGAGGTCTTTAACCGATGGACCACCGTTAATTTGTAGCTTGATGAGGTTTGAATTAAAAATCTGACGTTAGAAAAACTAATATAAATTGTGGTTGCACATGGTCAGAAAAGCATAGTTTTGCAAACATGAAAATATAATTTGGGTGTATCAATAATGTATAATAAATGTCCATAAGTAAAAATTATTTTAATAAATCAATAGATATTCCATAGAAGAAAGAAATTTACCTTCCAGGCTGTCTGTGTAAATGGAATGTGGCGCAGTCTTCTGGTGTTCCTCGTTTGTTGTACGGAAGAAGGGTCGAATTGCATAGTCGTAGACAATGTCAGAGCCATTTCTCTCCTGAGGTGCATAACACCAATACAAGAAGCCACACTGTGAAGAAGACAAATTTATTAGGCATGAAACCACATCAGTGACTTTCTGTTCAGGCTGACAGTTTAAAATATGAAAGGACAACAAGTTAATCAAGAAAAAAAAAAGATTTTCTTTGGGAGCATATCTGTGATAAATGAGATCCATAAATAAAATTTAAAAAAAAAAAAGACTCTTAAAAAACCCAAAAAACACTAACAGGGGACTGTCCAGATATTTTGTAAAATTGTGAAAAAATTACTAGTAATTTGTGAATATAAAATAAACGTTAAGTCACATTCTTTCAACTAGGGTCCTGTTATTGCAAAAAACCTCTTTGAAGAGTTTTTGAATTGTAAAGACATTCAAGATTATGCTCAACACTGTAAAATTATAATTATAAAAATTGAATTTTAAAAAATAAACAACAATTGCTGCTTCTAAATTAGAGATGCAACATACAAATATTTGGTATTTAGCCTATACTGCTGAAAGCAGAATATTCATTTCGGACGAATAAAGGAAGATTCCTGGGAAAGGTTTATTCGATTAACAAAATAACAATGAAGATAAACAAATTTGTGAAGGGTCCGATTAAAAGATAAATTATTTTGTGAAGGGTCCATTTTTAAATTAAAGTATTTTGTGAAGGGCCCGTTTTTATGAAAAGATATTTTGTGAAGAAACCGTTAAGGGACCCTAATTTCTTCTAAACAGACCCTTACCTAATGACACTATTTCTGTTACAAGTTCAATTTTCTTTGGAAAATATATACAGGTATTTAATTTAAAATTTATTTTGATGGATATATTATTGTTTTTCAAAAAGTAAAAATCTTTTTTGTTGGAGATAATATTAAATGATTTTTCTTTATATGTTAATAAATGTTCTCTTGACACTACAAGAATAAACTATATTGAAAATAACAACCTTTGTTTGTTTATTCTCTCTCATACAGCTTTGTATTAAACCATATCAAGAAATTCTAAAAAGGTGTCTGCAGTCATGAATTCTTAAAGACAAAATGTATCTGTTACATTTTAGATTTTCAAATTCATGACTTAACAAAGTTACTATTTTCTCCAACAATAACACAACAGTAAATTTAAAAAAACATTATTATAACATTAATTGAAATGATAGGTACAACCGAAAACTGCTATACTCTGCATCTTCATATTTATAGATCTTAAAAACAGAGTAAAGAAAGAGTTGAAGCAATAAAATAGCTGGGAAAAAAATACAAAAGCAAATAATTTTTTTTTCTCTGAAGAATTATATTCTAAAGATACTTTTCGTATTCATCAGAAAGAAAGAAACACTCCTGATTTTTCTGTTCTTATTTCGGAATTTTAAAAAAAATTCGGCAATGACTGGCTTGCTTCACCTAGAATTTTAAATTGACAAAATAAAAAATAATAAAATTTTTAAATCACAGAAGTTTGAAAGATAATTTGATCTAGAAATGATGTTCCTTCTTTCATTTTTTGAAAGAACATGATAAAAACATTTTATATTTTAATAAAATATGATTGTGAGGGGGGACTTTATTGCAAATTCAGATATTCCGAAAACAATGAAATTGAGGAGTGGGGGGTAAATTCAATTTTAAAAATTAGATTTTTCAGTGACCAAAGTCCATGACTTTCTATGATATTTTTTAAAAAAATAGCAAAAACCATGGCGACAAATTTTGTTCAATACCAAAATTCATGACTTTCCAGGTGCGCAGATACCCTGTACCTATCAAATATGAGAGAAGAACCATCCTAGTAAAATAGCAGGCTATTTTCAGGGTGGGTGAAAAATGAAAATTAATCCATCCCAATCAGTAGAATTTGGCTGAATCCTTTCCTTATCCCACAAAAATATAGGATAAATCACTTTTTTTAAATATTGGATGTAGTATATCTACCACTACAAAAACACAATTCCAATTCACTAGTATATAAGACATGTTAACGATTCTTGGGGTACTTATTCACACACAACGTTGGTCTGTATACACTAGATTGCTAATGGCAACATAGGAGCGATAACGATTGTGAACTTAATACAGCTCTCACGATCAGTACAGTAATTTTATTACAGCTTCTCACAAAAACAGCAATGAATTCACTAGTCGTATCCATTCATCGACAGATAAAATTCTGGTGGGAGAGTACTGAAGTGTATCTATCACTACAAAAATGCAATTTCAATTCACTAGTATATAAGATATGTTAACCCAATTCTACCTTTTCATAGATGAAGGTTGACAAGTTCGATAATTACTCTCTCTCCCCACATAGGATATCCCCCCCCCCAAAAAATATACAGGACAATGGCGAAGCCTGACTAATTCTTTTAAAAAAAAGTAATGGTAAAATTTAGAACTTTATATATTTTGGGTGTTATAAAAAGCTATGTAAATATTTGTGAACATTTCTTCTTTTAGGAGGAAATAGTGCGCTTCTAGTGCCCAGCTATTTTTTAAGTCAAAAATTAACCCAGCATAAATCTTCAAATAACAGCCACAATTAATCTAAAACTCATTTTTATTTGCACATGAATAACTTTACACACTATTAGGATAACCAGGAACTGCAAGAACAGTTTCCGCAGAAAACTTAGCCTGCAACCATTGCAATTTCGCCTCATAAATGACTCAAATCAACATAACAAAAATACCACTCTTCACATCAACAAGTTTAAATCCAAAAGCAATTACAAAATGTAATGTGACAGAAAATTAATTCCTAAACCAAAATTTTAATCACATAATTCCACAAAAAATATTACGTATCAAACCAAAACTTCAAGGAATCTTTCTTTACTTAACCAAACAACTCTATCCTATTTGTGCAATAACAAATCTGATTTTACATCGCACACATAACATGGCAATCTACTTTCACAATCGCCACCTGGAACTTTCTGTTTACAATTTTTCCAACCTACAAATTGAAACTAGATTATCAGCTGGTGCTGAACTTGGCGATAAAAAACAATTTCAAAAACGGGTGTGTACAGATATCAAAGCTGCATCTTTTTTTTTTCTTTTCATTCACTGGGGAATGAGATGCAGTATAAACTAAACCCTGATCGAGGCGGCACACCCCTTTTTAGGGTGGCATCCGGTTACATCACAACTGGTGCCAGCAAACTATTCCCCCATTACCTACGTAGAGAAAAAGATTCTTTCGTATAACATGCGGTTCAATTTTCGATCAGAATTCAGAAAAAAAGCTGTAAATTATAAATTTGTTTTTGTTCACACACCTTGAATATCCAATATCCTGGAAGCCAGTGAAGGAAGAAAATGAATGTTTCAGCAAAATTCAAAGCAGCATGAATGAGCCAGTATATCAACCACTTCTTCTCAACTAAAGGATTTGGTTTTTCTAAGGCTACAAATCTAAAACATTCAAAATGCTTTTTAACATACAGTAAAGGAAGATTTCAGATGATAAATAGTTCATTAAACAATTATTTTTCCTTAATGAAGGATCATTTAGTAAAAGAATATTTTTACTCCTTGATGAAAAGTAGTGGGAGATTATTGTACCTACGGCAAGTAGGTGACGAAACTCGTGGAAGGAAGTTTTATCATTTCAATCCAGTTTAAATATTAGTATTCATTTTCGAGCTACTTTCTACACAATTTTTAAATAAGCAAAAAATAAATATTTAAATTTTTTTAAAAATCAAAATAATAAATTTTTTAATATTTTACGTTAAAGAGTTTAGAAAAACTTACATTTTATAATTATATTAAGAACCATCAAAATAACAATAAAATTTTATTAATACAACTGAATATAGATACTACTGAAAATACACATTGAATTATCCATTACAAATGGCATGCTAATGTTAAAAATCAAATAATATTAAGTATTATGAATACTTAAATAATATATGCAAATTCTAAAATTCTCTATAAAATTACAATAAATGAAAATTTAAAAAAAAAAATTAAATGTGATCCATTTTAAATGTTTCGGTACTATCTTAAATCTGTTTAAATTGGAGTTATTTTTAAAAGACTTATTGTTAAACAGCCCTGTGGCTGAAAGATTTTTACTTTGATCTTTTAATGTAAAAATATTACGTTTGCTTAACAATATCAACATGGATTAACATACTTAAATAAGGATTCTGAAAGTATTTCGGTTTATCCTTTTGCTTTCTTTAAAACTCTTATACTTGTCAGTGCATGCACTCTTCCATACCTGTTTTGATGCTCCAATTTTTTCCCTCATATCACAATGGTGACACCACTTATTATTTCGGTCCTAGAGAGAGCTTTCATACTCTGATGTACCCTTAAACTTGTTGGTGACCTTTCCAGATAGGTTGCCAAGATAGTTAGGATAAAAATTACACAAACAAATATAGGTCTGGGTATAATATATATTAGTAGAAATAGACAGGGTGGCAAATTTTTCAACAAACAATTAGTAGCAGATTTTAAGTACTTTTCAAGCACTCAAAAAAATTTTTTAATCACTTTCCAAAAAAAAAAAAAATCTTAATTAGGATCTATGCAGTCATAAAAATTATTATTTTCTTTGGTTTAAAGTTCTTAAGTTATAAGCAGAAAATCAATAAAATTCAAAAACTTTACATAATCACACTAAAAATAGCTAATTTCGATATATAGTGCGCAGAAAATTGCGAAAATCATGCATTTTTTGTGATTTAGAACGACAATCGACGTGTCGAAGAAAAAATCTTTTTTTAAAAGGTAGAAATTGAAGCACTTTTTACAAAATCCGAATAAAAAAAACACCTTCAAGGACTTTTAAAAAATGTAAATCAAAAATAAGCACTTTTTAAAAGAATAGAATATTTAAAAAAGTTATAAAATTTAAAAAAAAAAACTCATTAAATTTGAAAAAAAATTAATTAAATTTAATTTATAATTAAAAATTAGTTAAATCAAAATTAATTAAATTTAATCTTTAATTAAATCTACGATTCAATTTTTGAAAAGGGAAGGGAAAGAGAAACAAATTTATTAACTTACTTAACAGTCCCTCAAACAATGAGATATTCAGTTCTAAGCAATGAAATCTGTCAAATTGATAATTAATGAAATTAAAATGTGACATCTGCTGATATGACATTTAAAATACAAGTATTGTAGTTTGGTACAATATTATTTGTTCATGTGCATTACTATTGTTTGCTCATGTGTAAGCATGATGTGCAATGTTTTAAAACGTATAAATGAAAATATAAAAAGTAAGTTCTAGGTTATAATGAAAATACATCCTATTTTCTTTTAAGTATTAGATTATCAAATTTGCATTTCACGTGCCACTAAGTATATGTTGCTTTGTTTATAATAAAACCTTAGACAGATATTACGTTTGATAAAGAGGATAGATGAAGCCAAATCCACTCATGATTAATGAAACACCGTGTTGAAGCAATAATCCAACCAAGAACACTGATGATGCTCCTGTATAAAAAGAAATTTAATTAATTCAGACAATCTCGAATAATCATATACAATAGTCAAACTAATGAGCGATGAAATACTTGATAGATGGTTTGGAGGAATGGGTTTTCACATATCATCCACCCAGTTTCACTAACAGCCAAAGTTATCAACTTTGTTGCAGAAGAACTTAAAAGATTTCTAGCAGAAAGATTTTTCTTTTGAAACGTAAAAAACTTTACTTTTTTTACAGAAATTTACGCGTAATATTTGAATCCTGCATTTAGATAATCGCTTTTTTCACCAATAGTATTGCAAATCAATGTAATGTGTGCCAATTTCATATATGCTACGTTGAAATAGAATGGGATTGCATTAATTATGAAAATGTTGAGTAGAACAATGTCTTCTTGCATAATTCGTGGAGAAAATCAACATGGTAAAAAAAACTCACTCTGGAAAAGGGAAAATTAGGCACTTTTTAAAAACACCCAAAGAAAAAAAGCACCTGTAAGAGCTTTTAAAAAACAAAAATAAGCACTTTTTAAAAAACACTACCCACTTTCCTCATTTTTGATTACAAAATTTACAGAATTTCTTTTAGTTTCATTTTAGGCAAACTCATGTTCAGCAGAAATAATTCCGACACTTTTGAGGTGTTCTTCATTAAATGAAAAAGATATGTTTAATCATTGAAAGAGATTCAATAAGTTTGCTTCCAATCTTATTTAGGCTTGTATTTTCTCACCCTATTTATTAGGCTAATTTATAACTAATGTACACACGTAAAATTGAGATACAAGGGAGATAAGACAGACTAGAAATGGTGCAAATCAGATCACATTTGTCTTATTTACAATTAACAAATATAAACAGTCATTTAAGATAAAACAACAATTATATTTATAAGCTATCTATTTATTTACCTCACACAAGAACTGCCCAATGGGCTAGTGACGACGGTCTTGGAAACATTCCTGGGGATGATCCGTCGACACACCATCACAATCCTGTGATAGCCACTTTCTTAATTTAGACATAGATCTGAAGGGAAACTTTCTCCAGGTACCCATGATAACTGCTCAACGACCACAGGACAGATTTTACGATGCGTCATGTACTCTGTAGGTCTCTAAGCAGAGTCATAGAGTCAAGGATCGAAGTTCTCTAACTAGCCCCAGTTAACTATTTATAAGAAGAAATTACCCTCTGTAAGGGACAACATTTGATGGAAACAAATAATCAAAGACTATTTAGGAAAAGTGACTCAAAATAATCTTTGCAGAATATTCAGAAACCCATCTTCGAAATGGTAAATATAGAAAGCAGTTTGAAAGATTTTGTTAGAAAATTATTATTAAATAAATATTTAGTGTATCTACCACTGCAAAAATATAATTACAATTTACTTGTATATAACACACATTAACTAGATTCTATGTTGGGGTACCTTTACATAAATAACGGTTGGCATTGTCGATAACTACTGTCCCCAAATTGGTGACCCAGATTTGATGTGAACATGCCTACCTTGACAGAGACTCCCACTTTGATAATAACATGCCTACTTTGACAGCAACGGCCACTTCTATTTGAGCACGCCTACTTCGATGGATGGTCCACAGTGAAAAGTTGACAGTTGTTACTCAGTCTCGACCACACACAACGTATACACTGCTAATGGCAACACATGAGCGACCTCGACCGTGAACTTAATACAACTCATACGATCAGCACTCAAAAGTCTGGTGATCTCAATACAGCTCTCCTGGCTTCTCACGAAACAACAATGAATTCACTATTCCTATCCGTTCATCGAGTTCTATCACAGATATAATTCTGGTGGGGGAGTACTGAAGTGTATCTACCACTAAAAAAATGTAATTCCAATTCACTAGTATATAAGACAGGTAAACTCTATTCCAGACAGGGGGTACCTTTTCATAGATGAAGGTTGAGAATGTCACTAACTACTGACCCCACAAAATGTAGTTGTGCTTAAGTAAAGTGTTCCAAGGATTTTTGTCCAATTCTCAAATTTAAAAAACATATTCATTTAAAAAAAAAACTTAGGTGATCTTTATTTACCCCAGAAACAGTGATTGTGAATTATCCCGGGTATATAAATCATAATTATAGCTGTATAAAATGCAAGTATTGTGCAGGATTTAATGTGTAGTAAAATGTCCCCAACGTTAATAAAGTAACTTGTTTCAGGTTTTTGTCAGATTTATACAGTCTTTGATGTATCAAATCCAAAACCAATTTTTGACATCAAAATCCTAACCTTACAATTAGGATATGTGCACTAATAAATTTTTCCTTCTTCTTCCTATTGGTGAAAGATCTTTGTAAATACATTAATAAAACATAAAATAATTTCCAAAGACTTGACATGATCATCAAAAAATAACTTCTAGTATCTGACAAAGAACTTTTTTCTCGATTATATCAGCCACTGTAAAAACAATTTATACAAAATTTTAAATATATTCAATATTGAATGGCTTATTCTATTTTTTAAATAATAATTATTACTTTATTTAAGTAAAAAAAAATAATATAAAATCATAATTAAATTAACTATTATTTAAAATTTTTATTGAGTGCATTTTTTATATTAAAATAAAAGTTATCTAAAAAAGCATATTCAACAAAATATTGACATGATTAATATTATTGACCAGTACTGAATTTATAAAGATATGTTAAGAATTAAGCAAACTAAGAAATTCATATTACAAATGACCCCTAAAAATGTTTATTATTATTTGTTACCTGGTTAAGGATTACTTTAATGAAATGATTTAACAAAAATTTAAGTACTTTTGACATGTAAATACAATGAGTATTGAAGCTAAACATTTTTATCAGAAGTAAATCATTATATGGTATAATATATATTTTAACCATATAAAATATACATAATTAATCAGGAATGTGTCTAGGTTTTTCTGAGAGGTACCTATTTTGTGAAAATTTAGACATAATTTGTGAAAATTAAAAATTATATTAAAAAATCAACACAAAAATATGGATTTATCGTTTCTTACGAGATACAAAAATACAATTTTAAGAAAAAAGTATTTTGTGAAATTACCGTTTTTCCGTAAGTGGAATTTGTGAAGGTACCGTTAAACGGTAGTAAATTTGGCCTGGACAAACCCCTGTTATTATAGAAGTAAAATTATATGGTAAATTATATAACATATTTTTTTGGAATGAAAAATCTTTTTACTAAACATAAGATATTTTGTGGCATTTTAAAACATTGAAAGTCCCTCACTTTATCTTGCCTCTAAATATTATAAAGTTCTCATAGAACAACTTAAGAGTACAAATTTTTTTAAAATTAATACAATAATTGAAAAAAAAAGTAATAAAGTAGAATAAGAGTTTTTAAAAATTTTATGCCATTAGTAGGGTTGCCTCAGAAAAAAATAGTTTCTTTTAGTTTTCTAAAGCATGAAAATAGTTGCCGAAAACTATGAAAATAGTTGCCTAAATAAAAACAAAATATCCTTAGAAATAGGATTAAAATTTTAATAAATGACTAAATTGTCATATACCATGATCCATTTAGTTAAGTTGGTGGCACTAAATTTTTATATAAAAAAAATTAGTAGTATATTTGCAGAAATTAAATGCTTTTACAAGAATTCATTCAAAAAGTAAAAAAAACTTTTTCATAAAAAAAACATATACTTTTTTTTAAAAAAAGTTTCCCTTTTAGTGTTCTATGTCCTTTCTTCTGTGTGATTGTGACCCGCCCTATAAACGGGTTTGTGGTTGTGGCAACGCTACTCCAGCGCCGTGGTTTAGCCATAGGTGCTCACTGGGTAATGATAAGAGAGTAGCAATTCTGGCATTTATGAGACCAATGGAAAATAGACCCAAGTGCCCGCCATTAAACAATACATATATAATGAAAAGTGATTACTCAAATTTGAAATTCATGCATCTTAATGTCCTATTAAAAATTGGGTTTTTTAATATCATGGGAATTTTGCACCAATTGAAAAGGTGATTGAGAAACCAAATAGACTTACAATAGAATCTGTGCAAATTGAACGAATTAAAAAGTGATAACACAAATTTACAATTAAAAATTTATTTTTTGGAGAAAAAAATTCAGTGCGTTCAGAAGCTCCCGCGGGCTCTAGGTTTTCAATCCAATTTATGCTAAAGAAAGCATCACTAGTACAGAAAAGTCTTTAAAAAAATAATAAATTGTTGCTTCTTTAGCCTTTTCAGGTAAAAGAAAGTTGCCTTTTACCGAAAATAGTTGCATTTTAGTAGCCTGCGGCAACCCTGAATTAGTGGACGCTTAAGATTATGCTTAAAACTCTAAATTAATTCTCAAATTTAATGAATAAAAGGGAAACTTTTTCTGGGTATCCACATGAAAATACATAATTATTGAATGATCACCTTGTCAAGTTTGAGGATCCATAAGTAGTAATCTAGTACATGGTACTGATTTATCGCATGGCCATTAGCTTGCCAGTGACAAAGGCGCTTCATCAACAATGAAATTAACAAGAAAAATAAACTTTTCAATGCTCAGTTGGATGGAATCGGGGAGCCTGAAAATCTCTTACAAAGCGAAGCAGAATTTCACAAGAGACGACAAAAATACTTACGACCGAATCCAGCTTAATATGTGTGTAGCTGTGAACCCACGAGTGTTTAATCAAAACATTGAAGTCTTCGTACGCTAAGCCAAAATTAATTGAGGTTGAATGAATTGTGAAAACCTTTAATAGAACAATGTGAGCAGTCTTTTTGCATAATTTGTAGCAAAAATCGACATAGAAATCTCATTTTGAAAATTAAGCACTGTTATTAATTAAAATGATTAGGCACACAAAACACCCAATAAATAAGTACTTTTAAGGGTTTAAAAAAACGAAAATAAGCACCTTTTAAGAACACTTAGCATCCTGTCTACTAAATTCTACAAGTGTTTTTCAGCCAATAGATTACAGGTTCATTAGAAATTTTAAAGCGAACTTTCACAAACTTTAATTGCTTCTCAATAGACAAGAGAAAGTAAGAACATACTCCAATCCCAATATAAACATGAAAAAAATAATGAAAGCGATGATCAAACGGGACCTTCAATAAATGAATCTACCTTTCGAATTGAATCCAATACAATGGTTTTGGAGAATACTAAAATATTTTTTTTTAAAAGCAGGGGTATAAGTGGATCCGAAAAACAATATTACAATAAACAGACAATAGAAAAGAAAACTTTCTTTGTATTGTGCAGAAATAAAGCAAACATTATATTTTAAAATTTAGTAACTGTTTATGAGAGTTTATAATTTTTTTCCACGAATCCGCACTCGATAACGAGCAAATGTGTTCGTCATAAGCGAGTTCGACTGCTTATATACATAAATCATTACCCAAAACAAGATAGACTCGGTTCACATTTAGAGAGACTTCTGCTTGGTCCAACATAGGCTTATACCAATGATTATCACGCAACTTTTTTTCCAATTTTATAAAAGTTTCAGTGCCTTCCACAGTTTGCAGATTTAATGAATCGTAGAAATTGTTGACTGCCATGAATAATTTAGACTCTGGAAATAATCGCGAATACAAAATATAAATTAAGAAGTTTCAAAGCAAAAAAAGTATTTGGAAAATTGAACTACTACATAAGAACTACTAATTAACAAGATTTGAATTTTGATGATAATGATCACTGGCGATCAGTTTTGGAGCTTTATGCAGTTTGCAGCTTATAGCTCTCCTAGCTTCTACCAATAATTATTTGGACACCTATGGTCCTGAGAGACGTCACGCCCTCCGCCGGTACATATCGTGTAGGGAATAACATCGGCATTAGTCCCATGCAAGATGCAACGCAGTTCGGAGCTCTCTGATTTCGAAAAAGGTATAATTGTCAGGTATCACAAAAATGGCCGATCCCTAAGGGACATATCTAGCGAGCTGAATTACCCAAAATTCGACAGTGGCCAATGTGATTAAGAAGTGGTAGGTAAGCGGTGAGAGTTGGAATGTGCCCCGAGTTGGAAGACCAACAAAACTGGGAGATAGAGACTGACGGGTTTGTCCAGAGAAATTCGGAAAAAAACGCACTCAGCCGATCCCCCACATACTCCAGGAGTTTCAACAGGCATCTGGGAGTCTTGTTTAAATTAATACCATCGGTAAGGAAGCACATCTGCTTGGTTTTCATGGTCGTGCTGCTGTCCATAAGCCTTTGATTACAAAGTACGACCACATTGTTCGGTTAATGTGGTGCAAAACACATCGAAATTGGACCGTAGATCAGTGAAAAGCTGTTCTTTGGAGCGACGAATCAAGGTTCACGCTCTACCGTTCGGATAGCAGAGTCTGGGTCAGGCGTATGCCTGGAGATCGTCTCCTGCCAGTTGTGCAAACAGTCAAGTTTGGCATAGATGGAATTATGGTTTGGGGGTGTTACTCCAGGTATGGACTGAGACCCTTGGTCTCCATTTATGGCAAGCTCAACGCCGATGCCTACTGCACTATTTTGGACGACAATGTGCTTCCTACGCTGTGGCAGTTTTACGGGGTGGACCGCTGTTATTTCCAGGACGACAAAGCCAGCTATCATGTTGCGAGGGTCACCAAGGCTTTGTATGGTGCCAATGGGGTTAATCGAATGAACTGGCCAGCCCAGAGCCCAGACCTGAATCCTATCGAGAACTTCTGGGACAAGTTGAATCGCCGAATTAAGGGGTATACTACCTGTCCAAAATCGGTGAAGGAACTTACATGTCTTCTCCAAGCCGGGTAGAAGAAAATACCTCTGGTATATAATATAAATAAACTAATTTTCCGGGATTTTTCCAGTTTTTAAGCATTACTTGAAATTTTTCGAAAAAAAAATCATTTTTTTTACATAAAGGATCCTTTAATATATCGAAAAACACATTAAATAAATAATAAAATGTAAAAANCATGTCTTCTCCAAGCCGAGTAGAAGAAAATACCTCTGGTATATAATATAAATAAACTAATTTTCCGGGATTTTTCCAATTTTTAAGCATTACTTGAAATTTTTCGAAAAAAAAAATCATTTTTTTTACATAAAGGATCCTTTAATATATCAAAAAACACATTAAATAAATAATAAAATGTAAAATAAACAAAAGAGAAAAAAAGAAATTTTTTTTAAAGTAGACCACGGCCGGGGTTCGAACCCGCGCCCCCTCGCACCAGGCGTAAGTCACTTGAACATGGACGCTTAACTAATGTCCACTTTGTTGCCTGCAATGCTTTTGTCTGAGTGAGGCGAAAGAAAGTTCATTGTGGCGGTGTACAATGGTGTCTCACCTCGGTAGAGATAAGGGCATCTTTTCCACCGCATAATTAGAAAATATAGTAGCTTCTTAAAGATTTAGAATAAGTGTTTAACGTCTTTCGAAAGGTATAAATTCAATCGATTTATTAATAGGCTCAGAATATTATTTTAAACTCCACCACACGCGAAATAAAAAAGAAATCACCCTGAATAACTTTCGTTTTAATTTTCACGTACTCTCGGTTCAAGAGGGTGACCATGCGAGTAATTAGATATATCTTATCAAGTTACGAAATCAGACGCAAAAACGTACTTTCTCCGAATAAACATACAATTTTTTTGCGCATTTGGATTCCTGAACTTCAATACGTAGGAGATAGGCAAAATTTCAAAAAAATTGAGCCACAGATTATGGTAGGAAGCTATATATATTTGGCGTAGTCACCCGAAAATAGCCAAACATTATAAGTGATGCACAAGAGAGCTGATGCACCTAGTGTTTCTTCGTTACTAAGCAACCAAGTTGACACAATATAAAAATAATAAAATAAATATAATTATATTAATAAAATTTTAGATTATTAACTTTGATGAAATCGGAAGCAGTTATTAATAATAACTTTATTGGAAGTTATTTAGTTTTGCAAATCATAAATTTTTTATTTGTTTATCTTCCTGCTCTATTTTATTAAGAGTATTCTGTGTGGAAATTATTCAGACTTTTCTTTATACCTTCCTGACTTTGTCCTGACTTTTCTGATTGCCATCTTGCCTGAAAAGTAAATTCGGCAACGTTTGTTTGTCATGAAACTGGAGAGGCTACTCTGTGATTCCCTAGCCCACAATAGGCTGTTGTGTCTTTAATTTTAATAATTAAAGTCCGTTAACGAACTCTGCAGGTAGTATAGGTTATCTTAACTCACTTTTCACAATCTTTTTTATTTAGAAAAAATAGGCTTTTTTTAATTTCTCCGTTTGGAGAATAGAGTCGATGACTTTGCCATAATTTAAAGTAATTATGTTTTGTTGTCACAAATAATAAAATAGAATGTGAGAGGAAGATTTGCTTGCATATCAAAAGCACTATATTTTTTAAGGTTATAAAAAGAACTGTATTTTATTTAAAAAGATTTTGCTCGAAATAATGGGATGAAAAATAGTAGATATAATGAGCAAGAAAGAAATAATGTGTTCGTTTTCCAGTTGTTACAATAAAAAAATAGTGTTGACCATGACGTAAATGGACGCAAGTTTGTGTACGCTAACCAGTGTTATTATTGTTCATATTTGTAAGAACCATCATTTAAACTAAAAATATTATCTGTTTAAACCTTGCTGAGAGATGCTAAAATAATTTTCAATTCAACCCCAGGTAACGTTTTCTAAAAGCCAGAACAAACCTTTAGTTTTGTAAATTTTTTTTCCAAAATAAAGACCTTATTGAACAAATTCCCTGTACTATGAGGAGAGTTTTTCCCATTTCCCCCTCGAAAAGACCTTTTGCCCAAAGAGAAAAAAAAACTGAATTTAGTTTTGTAAAAAGGAAAAAAAAAATCATTTGAAAATGAGTTGAATTATAGTGTTGAATAATAGTTTTGAATAATACATTGCCCAATCTAATCAAAATCACTTGTAAACAAAATTCTTAAGTCATACAAACCATAATACAACCATAATACTTTTAACTTTTAAGCTATGGTCTAATTCATTTCTTTTCAGGTAAAACTTATAAATATTTTAGTTTTTCTTTTAGTTAACAGAAGTATTGAAGACTATAAATACTTTCCTTAATTTTAATGTTTCTTCATCTGTTGTTTCTGGGTAGAAATCGGGTAAACATATCAATAACTTTTATTACGTATTATTACATAAATAAAATAATATTTTTAAGGAACACGCTTGAAATAGATTATAGTTTCAAAACTGTATTCGACGGATAAAAATTAAAATCCACTTTTATTTCCTTAATATATTTTTTAATTCTTAACTTATAGTAGGGGATGTAGTACAAACTGCGACTATAATAATGATGACTACTTGACTTGAAACTAAAAATCAGTTGGTTGAAACATCGTAAGAAAATTCATTAGTGCCTTTTAAAATAATTTTTATAATTTTTATAAAAAAAAAAAAAAAAAAAAAAAAAAAAAAAANAAAAAAAGAATTAATATTGAAATTCCAAAATGCAGGAATAATAGTTTGAGATGCCAAAAGTTTTAGAATCTTCAAAAAAAATTTCGAGCTTTAATGTGTTCGAAACAAAACCATCTTTANAAAAAAAAAAAAAAAATTCCAACCAAAATTTGTTCGAAACAAAACGTGGTTTTTCGAAGCTCTTTCACCAATGGAAATAAAAGTTTTATTTTGAACGCCTTACACTTGAAGGAAAGCTACAATTTTGAATTATCTATCTATACCATCATGCCATGTAGAATTATCTGGGCATTAGAACGGGCAAATTACTTAAATATATACAAAAATAATTATTAATCCTTTTTTTTTATATAAAAAAAAATCACTAATTTCGCGATATTTTTCCACTTAAATGAAAATTATCAAAATCATTGCCTTTTTCTCATTTTCTGCAATTTTTTTCATAGCTCAGATAATGCAACATGGAGTTAAATTTTTAACGTTTTCCTAAAACGGTGGCTTTCCCCCTTATTGTTGTTTTATGTGAATTAAAGAATTAGCCAAAGATAGCTAAACCTTACCTAACAAGAGCAGACATGAATAATAGTTGCAAACTCCCATCAGTTATAAAAATAGTATATTAATATAAAAAAAAACATCCCTTAATGCGACAACAGAGTTTTCTAACAGCAGCACTTGTACTAATAAGAATAGTTTACCAAAAGGCTGCAACTCACTTCGAAGCATTTAGGAAGCCCTCGCCATCTTAAACTCAAGGTCAAATTTGTGTTTTCTATCAATTTTTTTTTTTTTTTTTTTTTTTGTACTCAACACCTTATTGATGATATAAGGAAACTAAATTTCCAAAAATATTGAAAAAATTATTGTAAAACATGAGAAGAATTCTCGCACAGGCATTATAAAGAAAAGGACATTCTTATACTGGGACCTGATTCTAAAACCTTCATTTATGATTGCGTGCGAAAAAAATGGTCAAAGAACATCTACAGAAGTCATGGCATCTCGAAATTACCCCAAATTTGACTAAAGCTTTAAGAGTAAAAATTATAATGAAAATATAATCTTTAATCGCCAAAAAAAAAAAATAATAATAAAGTATAACGATCGTTAAAACTTAAGTTAATTTTTGTTAAACTAGAAAACTAAAACAGTTTAAATATTAATTTAAGAAAGGTTTTGTAAATTATTTCACTCCAAATTATTTTTATTTAAGTAATAGGAATTTTTTTGTTATTTCTTTGGTTTGTTTTAAACATTGTTCATTT